AAAGCATATTAACAGATTTCCAAACCTACGAGTAGCTTAAAGTGGTTTCTGTAACTGGAGAATAACCAAACCAAAATGATACGATTACGCGAAGATTGCAAGATAACTAACCCCACTTTCTTTTTGCGGCTCAGACCTTACGTCGTTGATACTTTGCCGTTTCCTTAGAAGAGTTGACATAGAGTTGATTGGGGGTTGAACCACAGGTTTTGAAGGGGAAGGTGGTGGTGGTGGTGGAGGCGGAGAGATCATTTCAAGGTTATCCGTGGGTTTTTCCTTCTTTCGCAAAGCGCCCTATAATAAATTTCCTTTATATTAATTTTGAAATAACATTTGCACTTTTTTGGCACTCGAGTTGTTGGTGCTGAAATTGAGTAGATTGAAATCGGAGTATTTGGTTATGATTTGTTGAGGTAAGTGCGCTATTGCTATTATTCGCCGATATATTAAAAATGAGTAAGAGAATTACGCCGTCTCTTGAGCGGTGCATTCGGTGACTGGCAAATTATCGGTGACATGAAATCGCTTAGAGGGTCAACCAGTCACGTTCGAACATTTTCGGGATTTTTGCGACCCCCTAGCTCTCGAGGGGGTCCAGTTGCGACCCCCTGTTTTTGTTAATAAGAGTGCTAGACATGAATCCGTTGCGCCAGAAAGCGTCTGCGCCGCCGCAGAAAGCGTCTGCGTTGCGGCGTCAGCCTTGGAGCGCGGCAGGTATCACCCGGGCGCTGGAAGAACGGGACGCGGCGAAGAAAAAATTTTAGAGGGAATAACTTTCTTGGGACGTACTTTTTTGACTTGTGAGACTGTGCCTGAGGTGCGCTTTCAGAAAACTACAAGGATTGCCTAACTCACCGGAAAATTCCTTTTGTTAGAAGGGGAAAATCCAAAATTATAAGGGGAAAACTTCAAAATTTGAAGGCCCATAACTTCGTATGCGACATTTTGGAAAGCTGTAAAAGTTTCAGAAACTTCAATATTTCTCTAACAAAACAGTATAAAAAGTTTAGTGATTGTCCCCTTTTTCAAAAAATTGTCCCGTTCGAACATTTTTCGTGCAAAAGCGAGTTTTTGGGCTTTCAGCGACCATAACTCACTTCATTTTCATTTCTGTGATGCACTTTTTTCATGGGGTGAAAGTACAGGATTTGCTCTTTCTAACAAGCACCAAACCGTTTTTCAAAGTTCATTTTCGAGAAAATCACACGTTCGAACATTTTTTCCCATAGGTTTTTGAGCAGCACATGCGAGTTTTTGAGCTTTCAGCAATAATAACTTCCTTCAAAGAAGCTTGTTGGGAGGGCGAAGACATTTTTGAAGACTACGAGATTTCCGCTTTCTTATGTTTACGTTGTCTGGAAGAATCGTCCTCAAAAAATAGGTCCCGAAGAACTTTAATTTCAGCCCCGAGAAGTCAAACCTTTCATAGGGATGCATTCAACTGTTCTTTATTCCTCAAGAAAACACCGTAATTTGCCTAAAACTGTCTCTCTGTGCATAATTAATCGAATCTAATGCGGTCTGCACAAGCAAGTCTTGCCCTCGGATACGCCACGCACGCGCCTGTGGCTGGCAGTCCTCGAAGTACTCTCGTTCGAACAGTTCGAACGGACGGTTGACCGTGCTCCCGTATAGATACCATGAGGATTACCTTGGGCCTTAATAGATTTATTCCCCGGACGTTTTAGGTTTCAACAAAAGAGACGTTGGAGGTCGATGTGCCTTCCGGAATGATACGTGTTTCACCATGCTCTGGAAAAAATTTGCCGGGTTCTCCCGTTACATGCAAAGGATAATTATTAGGTTGTCTCATAAATAGTGTCGCTTTTTTTCAACCAAAAAATTTTCATCTAAATCCCATGCTTTTACATCGTTTCATATACCATTCGAAAGAGAATTGTCTGCTCTACAAGATGCTATGTTTTCTTCCATCTGTTCCAGGGTTTTCAAATTTTAGGCCTGCGAAATGGGAGGTCCAGCCGACCAAACCGACAACTATCTCTAACTTTATCTTCCCTTGGAGAAATCAATCAATGATGTACCCTCTACTTATACATGACCTCTTCTAAACATTACACTATTAGGTTTCCCAACAAGTCGCGTCGTTCCATTTCCAGACCTGGTTTTTCAACCAGAACTCGACGGTCGAGCACCATTACCTGAGATCTAGGTCGAAATTTTTTTATAGCCGAGACATTGAAAAACTAGTAGAATTTAAAGAACAAGTCATGACTAAGTTAGGAATGTACGCCTGGTTGATTTTCTCATCTTCTCAGGGATAATTTTTTCAAAGAAATGCGGTCACTTTCGTGGATAAAACACCTTATTCCTAAACACCTAAAATTCGAACTAATTCCCAACAAACATAAAAACAAAACAAATGAGCGAATAGAGCAGAAGAAGTGCTCACAAAAGGAACACCACTTGATATGAAACAAAGGCGTTTAAAGGAGGAATTTACGATTAGAATGAAGGTCGAAGAAGAAGTAATTCACCTAGTTGAGGGACCCACGGACCTCCTGAGGGTGCGAACTGACGCGCAATTCGCATCGAAAAATTTGACCTCGGCGACCTATCATGCCTCAAAGCTGGCGGGTCGGCGATCTCCGCCCACCGATCATCTGATCACTCGCCGCAGTTCTATACGTGGCGAGTGATTAGATAGCTGAGAGAGCGTAGTGTTGAAGAGGGCACAGCGATGAGAGTCGCATCAATGCTCAAATCAACGGGCAAGGAAGGGGTCCCATTTCTCGGGTTCTGGGCCGTTTCTCATGGTTCTTCCTTCTTTCGTGTACCACTCACCATCCCTAGGTTAATTTGAAATGGGTTGCTTTTTCAGCGTGAATTCGTCCTTTAAGAACAATTTCAATTTGAAAATTGCTATGGCTTATCGGTCAGCCAATTCGAAAAGAAACACGGCAAAGCTTTTTCGGCAACCTAAGAGTGGAATGTTTAGAAGAGGTCATGAGTAAGTAGAGGGTACATCATTGATTGATTTCTCCCAGGGAAAATAAAGTTAGAGCTAGTTGTCGGTTTGGTCAATTTTTGTCGGCTGGACCTCCCATTTCGCAGGCCTAAAATTTGAAAACCCTGGAACAGAGGTGGAAGAGGAACATAGCATCTTGTAGAGCAGACAATTCTCTTTCGAATGGTATATGAACGATGTAAAAGCATAAGGATTTAGATGAAAATTTTTGGTTTGAAAAAAAGCGACACTGCTTATGAGACAACCTAATAGAAAGGCATATTCGCAGGACCAACCTTAGGGGATCGGACATTTCCGCGCATTTGAGCTCTTTGACTTTGAGTTATCGCATGCCAGCACTTATAGCGCCTGAGCAAGCATTTTCACACGGAGCATGAACCCGACATCGTCTACTAAACACCTTTTTTGGTTTAGAAGATAATAAACACTTTTTTTGGTTTAGAAGATAAGGAATACGGATTGCAGATCAGCGTGCAAAAACGCATCAAGTGGAATTCAACTCGTTTCAAAAGGCTAATTCGGATTGGCGCGAGTAAAACCTACTCTCGACATCGTCTACTAATCACCTTTTTTATTTTTATCATTTTTTGACAGCCATTACTGCAGTTCTGCGAGGAAGCTCAAAATTTTCACTATTCTTTTTTTTTCTTATGCACAAACATATAATAACTAAGTACCTGTCTTGTTGGTTTCTTCTCCTCCACATTTTGGTTTTCTTTCGTGCTATCACCACTTTCTGAGCTACCAAATCGTTGCATACGGATCGGTGTCGTCTTGTTGATATCATTGGGAGGGTTCTGTGGGGCTCCCAATACAGTCTTTTTCGGCGGTGTAGTAATGATGGCCTCAGGAGCAGAAGATTTTCTCGCCTTGAGTGAGCTGTTCTCCAAATCACCAGCTTTTTCTGTTGAATTGCTGGCTGTGGCTTTGTCACTAGGGAAACCTCGCGTTCTCAACTCAGAACTCTTGCTCTTGCTTGTTTCATCGTCTACACTAACTACAGTATCTAAGTTTTGTTGCCGCGTGGATGAGGGTGATTCCTTCTTCTTCAACGACTTCTTCTCTGAGGAATCCACTGGAGATGTCGGCCTTGGCGGTTTAGCAGCGCTGACATCAATTGGCGTTAGATTCTTGTCATATAGAGATTTCCGCTCCACTTTCTCCTTGTCTGACGCCGCTTTTCCAGCAGTACCAGGTTTCGTGAACAAGGAGTCGGCAATTTCGATGCTTTTTCGCTGCTTGAGGTCAGTTTTATCATTTGAAGAGATCTTTGCTTCTGCGGCTTTGGTAAGCTCTTTCTTCTGCACACTGTTTCCTGTGCTCTTCGAGGTGAAGGAAGTGAAGCTCTTTTCTTCGAGAGTTGACGTAGTTTTAGTCGGGACAGTTACTACCACTTCAGGTAGTGCATTTGCTTTCCTAGGTTCTGACGATTTCTGTTCAGGAGTTTTCGACCTAGTCCTAATCGCCGCAGAAGGCATATCTTCAACGATTTCTGGCTCCTTTGGAACTGTGACAGGGGCTGACGATTCACTAGTAACAACCACTTGGGGTGCAGGCGGCTCCTTCTTCGTGAGTGATTTCTTCTCGGGTGTCTTCGATCTCTTCCGGATTGATCCGGCTGGCGATGTAGTAGAGACAGCATCTGCTTCTTTTGTAGAACTTGCGGAAACGGATGGTTCTTTCTTTGACGCTCCTGCAGAGGTTATCCTCTCCACATTTTCTTCTTTGCTCGGTTTCTTTTCCGCCTTCGGCCGCTTTGACGTTTTTTCTTCGTTTGCCTGCAATAGTGTAGTAGAAATAATCTTTGGTTAGCCATAAAATAAAAAAGAAAAAATAGCCAATGTGACACAGAGCGCACAGATTGCGGTGCAATGGCCTGAAACCTAAGGTAAGTAAGTTAAGGTAAGGTAGCATTTATTGCAGGTGATCGCTACCAGTGATCGCCCGCGGTGAATCGAGTTGGATCAATCCCTTGGATAAGTGTGATAGAGCTCTTTACGAGGGTTGCAGTTGTGGCACATTTGTGCCAAGAAACTGCGAAGCAAATGCGTTAGAAACTTCCTTGACCCGCTTAGGGTGCTATGACCCGCAACCAGGGTCAAATGTCACGTTCGCACTTTTTCAAAAATTTTGCGACCATTCCCCTTTAGAGAGATTTGCGACCCACCCCAAACGCTACCATTAGTCTTTGAGACTCCCTCAATACGGTCTCCCTCCCCCTTCTCCGACCGCTACCCTCACCATTATGGCTGTCACCACGTAACGCCGCTCAACTCCTCCCTGAAAGCGGCCTTGGTGAGAGGGGGGGGGGGGCGGGGTTACATTGGTATCATGAGGCGACGAATCCACCAATTTTGCGCGATTCTCACTACAGCTTTCAACAAATTTGTCAAAAACAACCTGTTCAAACACAACCCCCTTTAAAGACCCCCATTGATCTCCATTTCCACGGTAATAACCTTACTCAAAATGCGACCCACTTCCCAAAATCGCAATGCGACCAACCCGTTCCAGTAGTGCAAACAGACGATCGACCCTGCCCGCAACTTCCACCCCCATTGCAGAAGCACTATTCTCGGTGTTCTCGGTGCATTTTATTATACTCGATACCAAGTTAGCCTGTTTCTTGCCTCAGCGCACATCCTTTCCCTGTGATTCAGTGCCTGGCTGCCTCATAGCTAAGGTGACCTATAGAACTAAACCAGAACCTTATTTCATATATCTGCAGGGTTTCTTTTTACCCAACTATAGCCGCTGGTGGGTCACTGCTAGCCTCCTCATTCACTGAGCAAGTTGTCGCAGAGGTGTGTGCTTTGAACTACTCGCGTGAGCCCACAGATGCAAGTTTTCAAAGGAAATAGAAGCTAAAACAGTAAGCGCTCGAATTTGCGAAACCATTTTTCTCATTTTCTTCGCTTCCACACCTTCCTGAGTCTTTTTTTAATTGAAGGATACTTCCCGAAAAATTCTTTCGACAGTTATATCTAGTTTCGAATGACAAACACTATGGACGGTTGAAGGTAGGTCGAGCAGAGACAAGGAAAAGAACTGCGCCTTGGGCACACGTATTAGACGAGGCATTGAAAGTCAAAAGTCTATTGAAAGCGTCCGGTTTTTGAAAATTGAGATAAAAATATCGATAGAATAGGATGCAGTAGAAGTGTGAGATTTTAGTGCAACAAGTGTCAAAAGGTCAAAAAGTTTCTAGTGACGGCACTCCGAGAACCAAGTGGAAGCGTTCTCGCCGCCAGCATTTGTGACAGATGTACGGCGGGAATTTGAATGCGTGACAATTCTTCTCTTTCCCGAATTGTTCACCAAAACAAACGCAACTTTCGTTCTTTTCGTTCTTATCGTGAACATTTCATTCATCGGGTCTCAAGCCAGCGAATTATGGGTGAGAGAAAATCACGATTCCTCCGGGTTGAATTGCTTGAAGCACTGCCACGACGACTAATAAGTAAATTTTGAAAACCTTGAAAAAACACTACATTACTCACCGACTTTAGTGGACCATCAGTTGATGCTACCAAGGGCTTCTGCTCGGTTGCAGCGGAGCTGCTCTCCGATGGATTCAAGATTTGCTTGGTCCTTCTGCTAGCTGTTCCCTTCTTATCTTTGCTAGTTCCTGCAGCCGTTGATGTTCCTCCAATTCTGTCAAGTTCCTCAGCACTCTTGGCCTGGAATCATTTTTGTTTAAGTAAAGAACGGGAATGTTCGAAACAGGCGATCGAAGACGCTCACCTTTAACTGTGCTGTCACGTTCAAAAGTTTGTTTGAACTAGTATTAGAAACGGCTTGTGAAACCTAAATATTTCAGTGCTTGAATGTGGGAATTTTTGTGAGAGAATGACTAATCATCACCTTTTGCTCTTTTTCGTCTGCTATCTTGAGCAATGGCTCGAAGTATTTCTTAGCACTATTACTCATACGATCCTTGATCATTGATCGCAGCCTGTTCATCTCCATGAGAAATCGTACGTAGATGATAACACGCTGAAAAGAGGATTGAAAAATTCCCACGTTTTTAATAAAAGTACTGTTTGGTCACTCAGTTTGGTGAAAGTTCGCAACGCATGAGATCTGCTTCTCCGCTGAAGCACCAACAGACTTGGCCTGGAAACAAACCAGAGGGAGCAACAAGAGTAGTCCCTTTTCAAAATATCATTCTGAAAATTCAAACAGTTTTCCGTATTTCTTGTTTGTTCCCTGCTTAATCTTCTTCCCTAGTTTTCGGTCATTCGCAATATCAAGTTTTTTTTTTCAAAAAAAAATTTGAGGGGTGACAATGTTCGATCAATACCAGGTCTACAATTACAGTTAACAATGGCCGAAGTGGAGAGGGAGAAGGGGGTGGGAAGCGGGGGAAGAAACAAAGGGAGTCCACCAGGGCGAACCGCGCTCTTTCAGAACGGTTGCTCGTATATGACAAGGATGTATGCATGGAATACAGAACCGTGTTTCACTTGGTTCAACGCTTCTAGCAGCATCAGAAAAGTAGTGATTGCCCCAAATGGTCCAACAGTATTTGACTCGACTACATCGTTCATTTATTTTTTTTGAAAGTTTTGCATTTCAGGTTGGCACATCCAGATTGGCTCCGAATGGCGTCACTGTCAAAAACAGGAGTCGTGTTTATGATCGGGACCATATTATCACTAACCCGCAGGCGCCAACCCGAAAAATGTTGTCAGGACAGGGAATCAAAAAATAGCAGGATTTCAAATTGCCAAGTAGACCTCCAATACTTTTTTGGCACTGCTAAGACCGCTCAGCTGAAACAAGATCTTTCAAATCATGCATGGCCCCAAAAATATGCAAAACGCTTTTTTTTGAAAAGTAAGCGGTCTGTTATAAAGAACCACATCTTTTCTTTGCGAAGATACAAAGTGAACAACATTTTCCTTCAAAAATACACCAACAGTAGGGCAAACTACCGACAGCGTTCAGTTTCGGAGTTCCTGTGTGACTAAATTTATTTCAAGGCAGATTATTCTGAAGAGTTCATGGTGGAAGCATGAAGGTACTACTCCCGAACTCTAAGGTAGTTGTGGTGGAACTTCGTTATCCAATCGCTTACATTGATGATCCTGTTGCATTTCCTGCTTCTCAAATGAGCTACAGCTAAATTCTGCTCAGGAAAGATCCCTGGTGAAAAAACTCACAGACCGCTCTTGTATTTTTAACACTCGAGATTTTTGCTTCCGTATATTTCTGTGCTTACGCGGATCTGATCAGCAGAAAACCGAATGTAATGCTACATATATGACCTTTGCCATGTTAACATGTTAGCCCATTAGGAACATTTGGTAGGAAAGTCATGATACATTTCTACTGTGGAGATGTTTCCAAGTAGCCTCAGCGACGAAACAGATCCTCAACATTTGAATAACTTTTCCACACTCAGACCATTTCAAGTTTTTCATAGCATTCATCGGTAGTTTTGAGAGACGGTTCATCAGCAGTCACAGAATGCGCATAGTGCTCAACTTCAGACGCGCCAGAAAATGGCACGCGATCATGCCAAATTCAATAGAGCACATCATAAGGATAGGTTACTCGGATCTGCAGCAAAGAGGCCACAGCGCGATGCCGCGCCCACCTGCAGTTCAGTTTTGCATCGCAGATGGGACGGAATGCCCACGGTGCGTCGCGCGACTAGAACTGCTGTGAAGTTGTTTTCATTGCGGAAACACATGCAGCGGCATCGGAATACGGCACAGAAACGGCGCATGATGCGTTGAAGTGCTCACCAGGAAAGGCATTCAACTTCCCATGGAACTTTGAATTGAGACCCAGATATATCGAGAGCTTCAAACGCTGATTACAAATATGGAAACTAAAACTGCAAAATGAACCTGCCAAGGAAGTTGTGAGCAGTCAAAGTTGGCTGGAAGTAAAGCGCATTACGTGCTAGCCTCCGGGCTTTCAAAGTCGCCGTGGAGTAGTGGTAGTGCTCTCGAAATTGCATTCCAACGGGGTGACCTTTCGGGTAAGAGCGAGGGCACTACCACTACTCCACGACGATTCTGAAAGCCTGGGATCCAGCACGGTTCATATGCAACGCTTTACTTTCAGCCAACTTTGACTGCTCACAACTTCCTTGGCAGGTTCATTTTGCAGTTTTAGTTTCCATATTTGTAATCAGCGTTTGAAGCTCTATCGATATATCTGGGTCTCAATTCAAAGTTCCATGGGAAGTTGAATGCCTTCCCTGGTCAGTCATACACAGGGTTCGCTCTATTCAAACGAGAGGGTCGCATTTGCGTTTGGGAGAGATAGGAGGGATATTATGGGGAAGGTTGACCACATCAAAAGTGCGAACAGGGGGTTTCGTATTTCTCGAAGTTGATGGGGCCGTGGTTGTGGTCTGGTTGCCAGTGGTGAGGTTTTTGACGATTTTGGTGAAAGTTTCATGAAGGCAGCGTGAAATGGGACAGAATTGGAACCTTTGCCGTTTCTTTAGACCCCCTCCCTAACGCTCCCCCGCTCGACGGCCGTTTTGGAGAGGAAATGTGGGCGCAGTTGGCTGTGTTGACTGGTCTCAGAACCATATACTATAGAAATAGCCATGGCGAACATGGTGGTTGGGGTAGGGGGTCGTATTGGGGGAGCATCCTAAAACTGATAGGGGTGATAGGGGGGGGGGCGGAAAATTTTTGACAAAGTGCAAACGCAACGGTTAACCCTGGCTCTAAACATTTGGAGCACAAATCTCAGCTGCATGTGGTCGCGATGTCGCTCAGCCGTCTTCTACTACAAAGGCAATACACTCGCACACCTTTAATAAAAACACTGCTAAGTATGAGGAAGCACAGAACTGTTTCAAAGTATTTCAGGAATTATGAAATTCCAACACTATACAGAAATTCCCCTTTGAAATGGCTAAGAAACGCTCCTGTAGCGCCTTGTGTACTGCCAGAACCATTTCAAAAAACAACCATTGCAAAACTACTAACAGAGTTAAGTTCGAAAAACGAACAAACATACGAACAAACTAGAAAATCCAAGTGCAACACATGTTTAGAAAAGAAGCACAACTGATCCATACTAGAACACAAAAAGTAAAGAAATCATTGTAACTTCGTCAGAGGAAATGTTGATCCTGGCTAAGGTGTTATGCATGCCTCACTTCATGCTTTGTGTACGGAGCTCTAATAGCAGTGCCCCTTTTTGAAATTTTAATACTAACACGTTGGCGACTAGGTGATTTTCCAGTGTCTGAGAAAATGCATCCTGATACTGGAAAGCTCCAATACAGCGAACATACCCGAAATTAATGAGAATTTGTTGTTTCAAAAGTTGCAGATTGTTTGGCCGATGTCAGACTTTGCGAATCGCGCGATTCGCTAGCGTCTGCGGTCGCGTCGCGGCCAGTGAATCACTCAATTGGCTGGTACCGCAACGCGACCGCGGACGCTAGCGAATCGCGCGATTCGCAAAGTCTGATATCGGCCTTTTCAACCAAGTAGAAGTTCACTCGCTCAAACGCATTAAAATTTGAAGTTGAGTTCAACCAGCAGAAAACAAGTGGTCGCCAAAAAAGTGTTTCACCGACATCTTTTTGCACTACTGTTTGTGCTTGGACTGTTCACCAAAAATACTAGAATTTATTCCTGGTTGATATACTGAGACTTTAAACTTGGTATTTGCGCTGAAAAGGTGAACTCTAGAGGTTTCACTTGGTAGGGGGCGTCATTGTCACCAATGTGTTAATTGTGCTGAGTTTTCAAAATGTAAAGGGCAATCCAACCAGAATTCCGTCTCATGCTAACGCTAGTTACAGGAACTTAGATAGCAAATTCCAGAACACGGCCTGAGTCCACTTACCATGTAGAAAAGAAACAGCTGCAGAGAAAATATTGATTTTAAAATGACTAACCGACAAAAAAGCCAAAAATTTACCTTCCAGAAATTAAGCAACAGAGATTTCAGTTCTACTAACTCTATAGATTTGACCTCGGCGATATAGCATGGCTCACTCTTGGCGCAGCTGGTGGTACGCCCACCGACATAGCAGAGAGAGCGTTAGCGTTGAAGAGGGCACGATGAGAGTCGCATCAATGCGAAATCAACGGGCAAGGAAGGGGTCCCATTTCTCGGGTTCTGGGCCGTTTCTCATGGTTTTTCCTTCTTTCGTGTACCACTCACCATCCTAAGTTAATTTGAAATGGGTTGCCTTTTCAGCGTAAATTCGTCCTTTAACTCGCGTCAAATAACGCCAGCGCCAAAATTTAAACAATTACGTGAGTAAAACATGAAACGATCTCTACACGCTAGTTTCAAAGAAAAAATGGTTGTGGTGAGAAAATCGAACCAAATTACTTCAAATTCCGCGCCGGTCAAAAGCCGTTCTCGCTCATTGCAAGATTGCCACGGTAGTCGTTCAGCAGCAACAAATCTTGCTCCACTTAACCTCAAGGTGGTTGTAATTGTGTAGTAATCCCAGTTTTGCTCTATGATCTGTCCAGCTCTAAGCCTACAGGTATTAAAAGCAGTGTGTAGAACATGGACGACATTACATGTTAAGAGTGAACCTCATGGCCAACCTCCACCCGAGTCACCACACAATTTGCTCTGGATAGTGACAAATGTCGAACTCATTATATGAGGCCACCCTTATTATATGAGCTGTTGCCTGTGATGTGTTTGACTACGTACGCATCACCGTCGAGTGGTGCATCACTCCTTGGAGACGCGCAGTAATGCCTTCGTGAATGGTTCCAAGGAGGTAGTATGGTTCCATGAAGGAACCTCCCGATCGAATGCAATTTTCGAGGATGTGACTCAACAAATTTTACAAGTATTAGGTTGTCGGAAAAGTCTTTGCGCATCTGGCAACTTTTTTACAAAATTGTTTTTCTTCTTTAGTGCTGCGAACGTTTGTTACCCATAACGGACGGCCAGTGTATTTTTCGCGTGCGCCACCATGTGGCGCACGCCGC